TAAATAAGCTTGAAGGAGAATTCTAAAAATTAAGCTTCATTAGAGATAGTAACAAAAATGATTATACGATATTGTTTTCTCATAGTTATACAAGTAATTTCGGAATATATTTCTTTCCTAGTACCTATATAATTGATTACACTTGCATTACAAATATGGGCAAGTATGCCAGGTATCCGTGATATAATAGCAATATCTTAATAAGCTGGCGATACCTGTAAATATCGTATCGTTAAACAGTTTTCGGTGACTACAAAATTTATTGGAAAGTATTGTAATGATTTCAGCTATTTACGGTAGTTTTTTTTAGGATTAAAATCCTTACACTACGTATATCTTTCGTCTAATAATTTTTGTAGATAAATAGATATTCCCATAAATTTAAGGTACTAATGCAAAAACATCTCCACTATTGGCATTTATATAAGATTTAGGGTAATATTCTCTTGCTCCGTAACAAACAGTCCGGAAAGAACATGGGTTAAACTAAATCATTTAATTACGTCTGGACGATTCATACAGAAATATTTGTATTATAGCTCAAGTTAATTCTAACTTAAAAGAGGTTAATTATTTAAAAACATCAATATGGCTTTATGTATAAATAGAAAGGATTTACTGAAGTAAATACTTTTGATCCGTTGTTTCTTAATAGTGAAACCGTATTTCACCTGATGGGAATAAGCTGTTTCAGAATTTATGTATTTGTGATATATATCGATCACGAAATTCCAAATTTTAGAAAAATAAGGGCTTTATTGGATCTTATACAAAGATTAAGTACACACAGCTCTACTTTAGCCGAATACTACTACTAAAGACTTCTACAACGAACTAACAGAATAATCTAAAGTTGCATGCTTTTATACTTTTTGTAGCATTCGCAGCTACAATCTGCATGGTAACCTTTTACCTTATTTTACACATAGTAAAATAATTCTTAGTAAGACTATTCTACTGCGGACCATCATTAATCCGATATGGATACGACTACAGTATTTACGTAGACATTATTCACATCAGCCAAAGTACAATGAATTAACCATATCCTAATATATAATTGACGGTTCTATTTTTACCTATAACCTTATTCGTAACTCAACACCTTACTGTATATAGTCATCTGTACTCTAGCATAGAGTCTATACCACTACAGTCAATAGTTATGGCTACCAAATATCTCTTAGGATAAATGTAGAAGTTACGCTAACGTACATTATACTAAACATGGCCAACAGTCTACAATCACAATACTAAGTTACATTACAGTATTATATCTAGATTAAATAATATTCTGAAGGGAAGAAGTTCAATGTTGACTACGTTATAAGCACTCGAAGTTTATGTGTACGGGCAGTTTGCAAAATGACCGACTTCGCATACGGTCACGTTCAGATACATAGCTTCTAAAAATGCCAAAAGTTGATAATTTCCGGTAGTAAAGCCGCAATAACAAGCTAAATTCATCAATAATTTATTTTTTTGGAGAATTGTTATCTTAGTATCTAAGGCTGTGGGAAGTGAACCATTTGCGGAAGTGAAATTATCGGAAATATTTTGTTTTTTATTCCAAATAAGTTATTTCGAAAGAAATTAAATATAGCAATAACCGAAATGTAACGATAGAATTTATATTTCAAAAGTTGTATGATGCACTTAAGAAATCAGATACTTCTAGCCTTAGAATTAGCGTAAATTTGCTGTAATTCTGTACTGTAAATTCATAAAACTCGCTTTGCTTACACGTTTCATTCTTATAAGTGGTCTAGCAGCCATAACACTAAAGACTATACAATATTAATCCGATGATTGGTTACAGATAAATTTCACTGTATGCCTTATCAGAGCATAGTAGCCTCACTATACCGAATGTCATTACAGATGATAAGGTGTTATGATGTGTAATTGTGTATTATATGCATTAGTGATATGTATGCTTAATATAAAGTTATAACAAATATTTTACCATTCTTTTAATTTCTATTGCAGACGTCAATTAATGATTTTCCTTAAATGTGAGCAATACAATTAGTAGAACTAGTCGGCAAGGCAAAATAGCTTCTAGAACAATGATTTTTAGTTCAAACAGTAAATGATTACTACTGTAACATTATCTGAGTGAGTTAATCTATAAAATAAATGTCCGAAAATTTTATTTGATGCTCGTATATCCTTGCTTGTTAGTGGTAACGATAGCGTCTGATTTTTGGTATGCTCTCAATCAACTGAAGCGAGATCGGCAGCTAAGTTTCCACGTGAATATCTACCTTTATTCTGATTTCTTACCACCTTATACACTGTACAATACAGTACCTATACTGATCTAGTACGGAACAGAACTAGTGCCGTTAAGCTCTGATAAGGTTGCAGTAAAACCGATATGAATGCAATACAAGAAATCATATAGTTAGATACAGAAACGCTAGTAAATCCGTAACATTGCTATTTCGTAAAATTTTCCTGTGGATAATTATTACCATGCATTTACTACCAGTATGAGATGGTTCACTACTAGCAATTTACGCCCACTCTACTTTATGTGTTATTGTTATAGTCAACTAAATTAAGCATATCTGTGGATTCAATGTTTTCCAGATAGTGGACCTATTTAGGTATAGTATAATGCTGTTGATAAATTAAATACAATTCGGGCTAATTTTATGCCCTTTTACTCGTATATAAGAATTTTATTCAAATAAAACAAGACATGAAAAGAAATTACTAAAAAAATTATAAAATCTGAGACGACTATCAAACTAATTTTTTACGTCTTCCTACAAATTAGTTGATTTAGTTATTATGAAGAGACTGATTGGTCTTAAACTACCTCTTTTTTATGTACTGATAATCGGTTTTAGTGATATAAAATCTAGGATCTTAATCTTAAAATTCCACTTCCAGTTGCTATATCACGTAGTTAGCCTTGTTTATTTATCAAAATAGTAACAGTCACCTTTTTGGGACAGTAAGAAGGTATATGAATAAGTTAGATAATTGTGTTAAGTGTGCATATTTTTAAACAAACTTGAACTGCTAATACAATTACGATTTAATGTAATTGATGAAGAGCAATATTGGTATAGGCACCAACTATCCACCTTGAAATCGGCTATAGCTTCTATTTGACTATAACACGTGTGAATATTGAGGGAATTCTGGTACCAAAAAGATCTCTACACTAAAATTATTTGCCTCGTAGACATATTATAAGGTATTAAAAATAGGCTTGTGTAAATATCATCTTGACGAAATTCTTAGATTTTAATTGGTGTTATGATCTAACTTAAATAGTCAACTTCTATAAAAAAATTAAAAATTAACGAAGTAGTGTATTGTTGAAATAGATACAAAAAGACTCTTCCATGAGATAATATATTTGAAATATGATATAATTTAATAAATATGAAAATAGACAATTTACTATTGATATTAAGTAACTTTCATAACAGGAGATTTGTAACGATGTTCTGCTACAATTAATGAAATTAATCAATGAATAATATATAACTGGAATGATGCTGATAGTGAATATAATTAGAGACTCTATATCATATAAATGAAAAAAAAATTTACTGTGTCTCGTTGAAATATCACTATTGGTTAATTAATGAGGTAAATACCATTTTCTATAGCGTTTATCTGCTTTGTCTATTCAATCTTCAAAACCGTACAGATTTTAATAATGCATGTAGATTAAATATTTAGGGTAACAATACAATCTACGTATGAAAATGAGATTTTATTGCTGTATAGAGTAATACTGATATTATAAAATGACTTTAAGCTATTCTACAATTATATATTTAATTGCTAATTTTATTTATACTGCTACTGATAATAAGATTATTGATTCCGGCTTTGGAATTGGATAATATTTTGACGTTAAGGTGCCAAAGCAACGTAGATTAAATATTCTAATTGGATATTTTAGGGGACTGATATTCGTAATTAAACTTTACATTAATCATTCGACTAAGGTGATAATACTTTAATACCTGATATTACAGTAGTCACATTCTACAAGCACTTAATCTGTGAAACTATTTGATTGGTTATAATGCTGATATCTATATTACACTTTATTTAGGTCATATTCAAAAAAATGACGGTATAATGGAAGCTTAGTAGCAGGAAATAAGCTGCATAAAATACGCTGCTGGCATATGGCGAAAATTATAGTGCATGCATAGACCTATCCACCTAATTAAATCTATCCATCAAACTAAGATCATTTGGCTTATTTGACAATATTTGTATGATTGTTAAATTATTCGCACTGCATGTAATTTAATGCTTTTAATATGATCTTTTATAGTATATATGACGTATGATCCCATTCTTAAGCCATCAGTCAACATTATAAGGTAGAAGTGGTGATAATGTTTAATTTATGGATATTAATAATAAAGGTTTTCATTTACTACTGGTCATCTTGCAAACTTGTGAATAATATTTTGTTTATCTTTGCCATAAACTGGATCCAATTTGAATATACAATTCATGTCTCCAAATTATTATATTATGAAATTAATAAAACAAATTTATTTCTAGTAATTACAGCACAGTATTAAAAAAACAAAGGTTATCTGCAAATAAAGAGCTGACTGCATTAAATAAACAAATTTTGAATATTATGGCATATCAAATAGGTCAATTGACAATAATTAAAAGTAACCATTTATAAATAACATGCATTAACATAAAGTGCAAAGGGAATAAGGATATCTAATTATTGCATTATTTCATGAATTTAATATATATAGATAAAAATTATAAGCCCTTACATTCGTAGAATAGCCGAATAGCATAATAATTAACTGTAATCACTTAACAATAGTCAACTGTTTATCATTGGTTTTCTCCACTATTTAAGAATAGCCTGGCATACCGTCAGGAACAACACTCGTGTATTTATTGCAAACCGCTGCTAGAGTAATTTTATGACTTAGCTGACCAATTATTTTTAAGTTATTATATCTCCGACCGATTTAGATTAAATCATGGTCTTAATATATCAACTTTCCTCGAAAACTCATCACTATATGGTATTGGTAAGTCTGAACAAAATTAAGAAGGAACTATCGGTCATTTTTGATAATATATTCGTGTATCGAAAAATCGCCTACATGAATTTACCGAAATAATCGCTTCGATAATAGTAATATCAGTATGAGGTTGATCATCAAGTGCAATGTGTGGACTCTAATTTTAGCAGTTATCGAAAAAGTTATTTCTGAATCAATGTGCGCAATACAAATACATTAGAGTTTGTCCTGTATGGCATATTTACTAATTATTAATTCTTAAATGGTTCATTTATAGAGGTTTTAATACTGTAAAATACTGCCAATAAAAATATTTAATGCACTAAAACGCTACATATCAATCGCTATCGTTGGAGGATTTACCATATGGTTCTGATCGTACTACGAAAATGTCAGATTAAATATGTACACGAAGAAAATTAGTCATACGTATATGGATAGAAAATTTGCTGTTAATATCCAATCCTAAAATTATTTTTCAAATCGATTGTCTTAGACGTGATATTTTTTATTGGTTTTAAGCTCGAAATTACTACTTTTTCTTTATTGGCTTCCTTTATTTTTTGCTTCTAATTTTTACTTGTCTACATGGCCAGCCTACCGAAATAGTCCTTCTCAATTAAAAATTGTATCGTGCTTATTAAATACTAAATACACTATCTACACCACCGAAAACTCATCGAATAATCACAGTATGTACATTAACTACTGGACCATAAGCGCTATAAAGTTAACAACATTTAAAAGCTGTATTGCTACAGCACTACTTTGCCAAGTAATACAGTTTATGGAAATGTTGATGTAGATAGGGCTTCAATGTTGCCGTATACAAAGCATTATATCTAACAATGAATTAACTAGTATAATAGCTTATTGCTTGAAAGAAAATTACAAAAGTAAGAATAATGACGACCAAAAGGCCTCGATAAAAACTTGCTTTCTTAATCAGTTATGTTAGAGAATAAAAGAGATACAAAAATGAATCTATTTCAGTCTGAGCTGATTGATGTTGCACGATTTCGCAAAGAATGAGTAAATGGTAGCAGATCAAATATTTATTTTATCATAATTTCGTTACTATGCGTATGTTACGCTATTAATAGATTTCATTTAAATTTCGAAAGCTGTCTCTTGTTCTTGTTGAATATCACGATTAATTTGCGTTAGTACCCTAATAGCAGTTGATTCAGTTATTCAACCGTATATAGCCTTAACTGTACCATGTCATAATGCTAGAGTAACGTAATTTTGGGGCTAAAACTAAGTTTATTCATGAAATTTCAGATCTTGCCCACTATTATTCTCGAAAATATTCCCTTGGGAACAGTTATCTGTCAAAGTTAATTAATTTGCTAACAGTTTAAATAATAATAGGGTGTTTCATAATATCTTCAGATGGAGGTGCTGATATTAAAATACTATTATTCAAATTTTTTGTATTCTTTTGAAATTAATGTAGTCGATAATGTGAATACTAATTTCAATCTGCAGACTTTGATAGAAATTTTATGGATAGAAAGTCACAAATAAAGTAGTTTACTAGAGCTAAGTTTGGTTTTATTTAATGTACTTATTTCTCCTGCATACAAGCGCTCTTATCATGTTAATAGTAAACGGCCTGTCTGCGAATATCGTATTCAACCATTAGTATTAACCCTAGAGATATCGGCAGGCAATACTTAGTTAGATCATAATCCTGCTAGAGTCCTACATCTTTCGGAGAAGTTGAATTTACAAAAACATGTCCAGTTCATCTAGTTTCAAAGTGATTAGTAGCTCGTTCTATAGAAGGCTTCATAATAACGTTTTGTTAATATGCCATAATCTTGAAATATCAATTGATTTTGAGAACTAAGCGTGAGTTATAAATTATTGCAAAGTATTAAGATACTTAATTTAAAAAGTTATCAAGGATAATCTCCCGCTAGTGTCTAACTCAACGCATTTTTACTTCAGATTTTCTTAAATAACTTTTAATTTAACCACATAGTAGGGAAGCTACATTGGATGTAATACCTATTAATTACTGGTAAAGCCATTCTTGGAAGCTTTTAATTATATTGAGAACTCTCTAGCTGCAAAACAGATAATCATAGGTCTTAGTTTAATAGAAATATAATATGAAATATAGATCCAATAACTATTTTTATATTCGTTCCGGAATTGTTTTATTTTAACTAGTTTGTAGTCAAAGCCATTTATTATTTGAATTTCGACTTACAATTGTAAGCCAATATGAAATTTTATCACAAAAATGATTGATAGTCAAGACTTCTAGCTCTACAATATTACGTATCAGCTGTTGGTGGAAACTAATATTATGCATGCATTAAGATTTCATTTGCTAACAACATTAATAACATTAGGAGGACAAAAAATATACCAGTCTTATAAAGAAATTAAAATCTAATTTTTTAAATTATCCTAGACATTCGTCTGAATGCAAGAAGAACAACGTTTCATTGAATATTTTTTCAGTTATTACACCTTGAAATTGAATAGTCTTATTGAAACCAATTTAAAACTCTGCCGACTCATTAATATCGAACCAGATGCTATATATAAATATGATAGAGATAGAGATTAGTTTTATTTAACATTCATTTAAGTGAATGAATCATCGAGACAAATTTGCTATTTTTAATATATAGTCACTTTATAGCTTTCATGCATTTAAAAATTCGAGAACATGATTGCCATAGCAGCTATACAGTGTAGAGCAATACTAATATCGAGTATTCATGCAATAATAGTGTAAATTGTCTCATATTAACGTGTTGTTTATTTCGATTTATATTTAGCTATTAACGATATGGATCGTAAAACGCTCAAGATATTTAACTAATGCAGGTATATTGATTGGGATGATTGCTTCTTTTGTAAATACACTTAAATATAAATTCTATAACCTTAGTAGACATTCTTTCCAATTATTTTAATCACATGAAAGCTATGCAGATTGATTTTATCCAATACGTAAAAAATTAAAGTTTTTCGTCAATAACAGTATCAACGCCTGGCTTATGCAATTTATGCTTTTCATAGTTGGCTAGCATCGTTCAAAGTAGATGATGCAAGAAATGCTTCGTATTCGTTCAAAATTAAAATTATTAAAATTATTTTACATTACACCCGACAGCTTCTATCACAAGTTAATAATCATGTATGATTAACTATTGCGAATCAAATTAGAAGAGTAGACACAGACAGTTTGAATAGAATGCTGGTTATTTTATTAACAGCTAAGTTACATTTTAATAATACTAGCAGGCCAATAAGCGACTATTGTCAGTATATTTTTTTAGAATTAGTTCATTTATTACCTTCAGTTAAAATCCAAGTGGACTCTTATTTAATTATGCATTTCAACTGTAAATATAATGTATTACTTTAATTTTAATTTTCGCCTTACGTTGTGTTCTTTAGATCATTTCGCGATTATATTGCTGTCTCATCATAATTTGAGCTTGTTCAAATCGAAACTTAGATGATTTCTAAATATCGCAGTTGTTGTGCCAATTAGGATCCATATCCAGCTACTTGTATATGATTTACATTTATAATTATGACTTCTCATCACAAAAATGTACCATGGGTTTTAATATAAAATAGTATAGTATCATTTGATCGATTACGGTACCTATCAATTAGCTAATGTTTGCAAAATCACTGATCAATGTTAGATATACTAATTTGAATTCCATTTTTGATACCACTTTAGCTGCAACAGTACCGATTTGTCCACCTAATTACGTCTTGTTTGAAGGGTTATGCTACGGAATAGAAAATTATGGCCAGCGTTCATTTGCTGATTCTGAGAGTTTTTGTGCAAACATAGGCGGAAATGTGGTTACCCTAAACTCTTCGCAACGATTAGCTGCTGCTACTTCTGAAGTGCTTACAAATAAAATTTACTGGTTAGATTTATATGATGTTCATAACTTAAATGGCCCAAATGATTTTGTATGGCTGAGCCTGAATAAGTCTACCGGAAATTATACAAATTGGGACACCGACGAGCCTAACGTTGCCGGATATCGATGTGTCGTTATCGAATATATTGGTAGCAGCTGGAAATGGAAAACTCGCTCTTGTAGCAGTGATGCACGCACATTATGCGAATTATGTAAGTTGCTATTAAGAATACCTAAAATAGAAATTATGATCGATTGCAATAATCTATCTTCCTGTAGAGTATTACGTTATTCATGTCGAGAACGCGCATGAAATCTTAATCAAAACGTTAATCTAATTCATCTTTACGAGAATATCGGGGATACAGCCGGTTACAGGACAGTTCTTCTAGCAGAGCATATAGTTTGAATGGAAATATTTCACTAATGAAAGAAACAGATAACATATTGTCACAAACCAGTTTCGTGACAAAGATAACGTAAAACAAATCTTTAAAGTTTCAGGGATTCAATATCCCTTAATCACAAGCACCACAAGACATAGCACTGTGATCAATCAACATCAGTTACTATATAACAACTCCTGCTACAGTGCAGCATAATTTACGGTAACAAATAAAAAACTGCCGTGGTTCTTGCTGTAAGCCGTTAATAGTTATTACCATATATAAATGTTAATTCACTAATTTTAGTCATTCAGTTTTAAACGGTAGTTCGTACTGTGACATATATTTACCTGATGGCCACAAATTAGCTATTATTGATAAATGCAATTAAAAGTGATTGCAACTTCGAGTTGACTACAGAACATCGAAATATTACTACCAGCATCTTAATACTCGATATCAAAACCCATGGAATCTATTCCATTTATCGATTGATAGGACTACCTAGCATATGATGCTATGTTTCGTGCCTTTAAGTACTATATACACGTATCTTAGCATATGAATGTTAAATTGAGACGTAGCGATCTACAGTAGTTTTACAAGGTGAGTAATATCTTATAATGATATCCTATCAATGTGTCCATATACTGTAGATTCTAAACATATAGAAAGCTATCTAAATGAATCTGTCTGCTAGTCATTTCATCTACATGAATTCTGAAATAACGGAATATAGAAAATTAAATGTAGATAGATCATCCTAACAGGCCGCATCGTAGAATTTGATTATTCTGAACGCCAAACGTTTTCCGTACTACGAGATCTTCTCCACTAGGTTTTGGAGATAAAGTTTCGTATCGCTTTAATACTCTATATTAACTTAAATTTCCTTCTCTTTCAATTCCAACCTTTATCCTAATTTTATTATTTTCAAGTTCAGAAGCAATGCATTCTACGAGTAAGACATTATAAGCGATTATTAAACCCTTGACACTAATAATTTGGGAAATGCTTGAACTTTTTTATTCTCTTAAAGTTGCTAAATTACTGCGTTTGATTAAGATATTCTAGAGATGTAATATTTAATAATTTTGCTATCTCAGTATAATTTTACCATTGATGAAAGTAAATTATACCATTCCTATCGCATCTAGGCATAATTTCTTCAGTATTTTTATAAGCATATCAGACAATAACGAGCTAATGAAAAATTAATTTCTGTAAGGTGCCTTACGTATATTTTGCAATATCTAATTTGAATTAAAATTATATTTCAGCTACCAATAATTCAAGTACAACTAATTCGCTTGATACTACTCTATCAAGTGAATCACTCTATGATTCCTCGACATACGAATATTCCATCTCATCTTCAAATTTAGTTCAATCATCCCTATCTGAATCTACTTCTATCACTAATTTAGCTTTACCTGATAATATTAGTACATCGATGTTTCTTAATGGCATTCTCTCTTCGAAAGAAATGCTTAGCAATTCTCTATTGCTTTCAAACGTACTCTTGTCTCCAATAAATACCGTGCAATCATTACAGCTTGAATCAACAACAATATTGCACGATACTATCTTATTCACGAAAGAAACCATCGATGATTCCATAAATCTTTCAAGTGACATTCTATCTCCAAGCTTAATGACTCAAGTGTCATGGTCAGAATCTATTTATTACTCTTATGAAATGAGTGTATCCATTTCTACTCTAATAATGAGTACGACAACAACCTCTGTATCTCTTCCTGATGGGGTAGCAAGTACATCAGAAATATATGTAGAAACATCGGCTTCAGAAGTAATGACAAATTGGATGGCATCACTATCTGTTAAAGGTACATTAACTTCTTCTTCAGGAATCAACGAAGCAGTAGCGGCGACCTCAGTTTATAGTGGAATTAGTATTTTCGATTCTATACTGCCTTCGAACACTAATATTAATGCCACTGTAGTCATTCCAGCAGCTTCTGCAAGTAATAGCAACAGAGATATTTTACTCACTATTGAAAGCAGTCAAAAGAATGGAGTAGCTGAATTTTCGGTATCTTCTTCACAACCCCTAGCCAGCAGTTTAAAAGTTGCCATATCAACTGCAGATTCCGTTGCAAACCATCCAAATGATAGTACAACAAATCTGACTAATGCCAGGACATTGCAAGCTGTTTCTACGAGTCTATCACCTGTTCCTGAATCAACGATCAAACAGACAAACATTTGCTCCATGTCTTCGATCAGTTGCCAATTATTGCAAAGTCAAAACACCGTAAATAGCTCTCCACCTTCAATCTTATTAACAAACATACTGACAACATCAGTCTCTACCCAAGCAAATGCTAGCAGCATTGAGTATGTATCCTCATAAGTGTATAACATTCAATCGATATATATAATCTTAAGTAAAGAGTTCTAGAATGCAATACGTTATTGGCTTTTGATATTATTAAAGAAGCTATAGTCACTTTCTAAAATTCTTAGTAGCTCAGCAATTGCGTTATAAATGTTGACTATCCACCAGGGTGACCTATATACCAACAACCGTTACTCCCTATGCAAGCAATATCTCCGTAGAATTTCTAGATATTTACAATCAGGTTGAGTATACTATCGCTTCACTTACTTTTTCGATTTTCTTATCGATGTCTACCCTTAATAACTTCTATTTCAATTAGATTTCTAAGAATCAGACAAGCTTTACAGGCAAGCAAGCCATTACTATACTGACTAACCTTCAAAAAGCTCTCGATACAAATGGTACTATTAATTCAGATGATATAATTATTGCACATCAAGCATTGTTAAAGCTGAATTATCCAGTTAACCTAAACGGAACATTAAATCAAACAAATTATGCCAAGGTATTCCAGCTTATCAGATATCCAATTGCATTGTTTCAATAAAGTCTACCTTAAGATTTTACTTATAATATTTCATCTATAAAGATTTTTACTATTAAGAACGGCAAGTTGCATTCGAAATTTGATCCAATAGTATCGTAATGTAGTAACCCAAATGATTTGTAGTTTAAAGTATCTATTGATGTAGATAGTTGCAAGATACCTATTGATAAGATATAAGTAACAATATATGAAATAGTAGATTTTCAGCTCACGGTTTTTACTTGGTAATATCCCTAGACAAAATAGAATAGATTTTTCATGAACTTAAATATACACTATTGGTACAATATGCTAAAGCGTATGATAGTATAGTAGCCTTTCCAAGAAGCTTCATGTACACACACTATATATAGCTATTAGCAGAAATACTAGACCATTTCACCAGATAATTCAAATGTATGTAAGCAGTAGTTTATGACGATAGGAGTTTGCTAAGGTCAGATCATATCATGTCGTTTGTATAGTATGCCAGTATTGTGAAGTTAGCTATGTGTTCGGAACAAGGCTGACTATATCTCACTCTGTTCTACTTCTATATCTGACAATAAAGTTAGGATGACGGAGTCGAACATAAATGTTTACTGTAAATAAAAATAAAAGCTCATTTAAGCTATTCAAATAGAGAAACAAAACAGTAAGTGAATCTAGTTCTAAGTTCTGAAATCTAGTCGATCAATGTCTTCATATACGTATGCTCTACGTTTACTTCGAGCTTCATGAATATTTTTCCCTGGTGCAGCAGGTCATTCCGATATGAATCATTCATCTAAATTCCTATCGTCCAATAATAAGTTAATTGATTAATTGAAAATTTTACCATTATCAAGTTTATTGCCTAATAATTAATTAATTAATTAATTAATTGACTAGTTTATTGATTTTTAACGCCGTTGTTACCGCATCCATCATCAAATTAGACTGCAGATTACCCTAATGTTGGCAAATATTACAAGTAAATTGGACTAGTAATTTGCCTACAGGATAAATTAAGTGATATAGCAGTATAGGAGTACCTTTAAACATTGAACAGATTTTAAAACGTGAATTCTTTACTATTGACAAGATAATTCAGATTAATTGTTTCATCTTTTATTAGCATATTTAATGTAATGAAGTGGATTCGATAAATACCTGTAATGATAATAGACTACGATGCCATTCACATATAAGCAAATATACATGTCATCTATTGAAATGTTAATTTCTATTATTGGAATTTCAACTAAGATTCTAAGTCCTTCCAGTTATTAATAAATCTTAATAAACTACACCACATTAAATTTGGTGATACAGTATGAGCACATAAGCATTGACATACTGCTATTAGCTTGTTAATTTTGTATTACTGAAGACCTATACTAATAAACGGATTAACTTATACTTTAGGTTTATTTCAGTACTCTTGGCATTCTAACTTCAAAGCATAACCTGAATGCATGGCGTAAAACTAGTAAGGTGAGGATATACTTTTATCACAATAATCTTCCTATTGATTAATTAAAGCACCTGCCACGATAGTGCAGCCCAAAATAGCTTAATAGCTTGTAGGAAGTCGCTAAGTGGCATGTCAGATTTTTAGATTGATACTATAGATCCGCAATAGTAGATTAACTAGAATCTTAAGATAGCATTGAGCACATATCCGTGCTAAAAAATAATTACAGTAAACATTGTAGCATTAATTAAGAATGTCTTCTTAAGATGGTTGAACACCAAAGATTATGCCAGTAATTTGATACTAGATTATCTAGAAATTATAGATCTAAACATGTTAGAAAAATAACTCATATAAGCAGGAGATTTCATCTCTCAGAATTAGTTGGTTTTATTCTAGATTGAGGAAGTAGTTTGTGTAATAAAATAAAAATTATAAATTTTCAAATTTTGATCCTTTCTGATTTTGAGACACTTAATGCCACTGCATTCGAGGAAATCTGATGATTTTTGATTTTGCACAATTCTAAGTTTTAGGTTTTTTATGCTGAGATACCGCAGAAATTGACTTTAATGCATAATATTATTAAATATTAATTTAGCTATATACTTTGGACTAAAAAAATTTAGCTTTCTGCATGCTTGCGGCGTAAATAGAGCCCAATATTTGCCCTAATGAAATTTATGCTTTTTTTAAAGTCAACTTAAACATATAAGATTTTATTGGAGCTAATAGAAGATTAAATTGCCATAATAGTTATTACTTTTATTCGCAAGAACTTTTGAAATAGTTTAATTGCAAAAAATGTAATTAAGTGATGGTATAGTTATTAGGTCTATAATAATTCGATCCATAAAAATTTACTCGGAATTATAGTGTTACTGAGCGGAGTAGTTATGTTTTAGATATTTTAAATCATGACATGAGATTGTAAGTAATTACCTGTAATCAAGTTGTAATTGATTAATTATATGACTTCACGATAAATTATAGCTGTAAGGCCTAGGTTATAGCAACATTAACTCTTTATAATAGCCTTTTGCACTGCTATTTACCAATATCAAATATTTTTCAAAGTATCGTTAATAGCATAAGTTTTATTACACAAATGTATTCCATTTAGAAAGATGCAATATCCGCAGATATTTTGAATGTAACTGATAAAGTCTCAAAAGATGTTGGCCATGTCTTAGCCGTTAACCAGTCGTTTATCTTCAAATCTCCTAACCTGGGTAAGCTTGCAGATCTTTAGTAGTTTTATTAAAGCATTCAATTTTCAGTATCGAAAGCTTTCTTTTTTATCAAATGACAAAAGTATTAATATCGTATAACTTTACTGCGGTCAGTTATAATACCGATAGTTTCAGAAAATATGTTATAAGTTATCATTAGTAATTTGTTTCTAAGATTTAGAATCAAGGATACATTGCTAGTTGGTGTAACTATGGTCCTATTTCTCTTTTTTGGACTCTAGATGTGAATATTGTCAAAGAGTCATCATCTTTATATATCAACTACGGATTTTCCATGGAGGCGACGGATACTACTGATCATAATTCATTAATTCAAAAATATTCTTTGACATTACCACCATCTCATCTTGCTACAGAAATAGGTAATTAGCGACTAACTTTTCTATGAGAAGCTTTCGCATTTATTGTCGGTCTTTCTTCATATAACATTTTCAAAGGATTTGAAAGTAATAATAAAAATTTTTGCAGCCTATAATAATGTGGCCGGTGGAATGCCTTTATTATACATTTGTTCCACTGTTAATGCGGCAATCTTTAAAATCCGATTTTAATAATCTCATTATGCAAATTACAACCTACTAGCTAGCAATGATCCTATTTCTACGAATACTAGTTTGATTATGTTCATCGAACAGTACGCACATCAGTAAATCTATTTTATTTAAAGGCTGCGATTGTATATTTACTCTAATTTATATATACAGTATTCCTGTCCATTCTAATTTCACACAATTGAATCACGTTTTATGTGATACTTTTTACGTAATATGAGCCTTTGTTATCGCGATTATTTAGCTATTTTATTTGTAAATCGTATAATATTAATTTTGCAGAGCTTTGATTCAGCAAATGATAATTTCATCTAGTCAATATTGTTTAATTCGTGTGATATTTAGAGCCATTAAATAACTCAACAAAAGTGTGTATTATATATTTTCATGCTAGAGCATTAAGTGACTAAATTGAACGAAATTGTTTTCATTTCTAAATCTATTATTGTTCATATCACGGTATAGATAATGTAATCGTTTCCATCAGCGCGTATAAATCCTTACAGTATATCATGAATAAGCAAAAAGCAAATTCGGATACGGAAGGGTTTGCACTAAAAAATAAACCTAATCTCTACATCTAGTATTAATTTTTTATATTTTGATATATTGGTTTTCTAAAAGTATTTTTTTATACTACTATTTAATTAACCTGCTTATTAAGCTCCAGTCAAGCATCCAATACCTATCTAAATTCCCTAATTTTGGGTTGCACTGTAACACCTATGCCGAAGTTGAATAATTCCAATCCTTTTACTTTCACTTTATTTCATAACAAGGTAATGTAAAAGTAGACTAGAAATCATGATTGCAATCAAATACTACCGCTTTCTATGGTCAGTAGTATTTAGACCACCATTAAAATTATACCTTGAACTAGGTCAATTTTACTACAACTTTTCAACCAGTTTGTGTATTTTGGGAATTTGCTACCAATTCCAAAAGGTAAATCGAAATCTGACCGAAAATCAGATATAGTAATATGTGAGGTAACGAAACAAATTTCTAACCAGTCTGTTTTCAATATTGCTTATTTAAATCCTAGCTCAGGAAATTGGTCAGATAGTGGTTGCAGCGTTGTTCATTGGAATCAAACTCATACCCACTGTCGGTGTAACCATTTAACGCATTTTGCAATATTAATGCGCGTTACAGAAGTAGAGGTTAGCAGTTTAGAAATAAAATATTTTAGACCGATTATATTACCTAGGAAAGGATTTAGCTAACAACGGAGGCTTTATAAAGTTTCACAAACATCATTTATCTTGTCTATTGTAAATTTACCTTTATTAAGTCAATTTAAAATTTAGACTATAGTTAAATGATATCATCTTAATTCTAATTGTATTTTCATATGTAATATAAATTTAATCTCGATTTGTTTTTCATTACGCTAAGGATACTCTTGAGTTCATATGTTACTTTATCTTATCATACAGTCAATGCCATTTTAGCAAGCTTTACGCTGTATCTCTTTCGCCAAATCTTAATCATTTTATCATTTACTATATATCTCTCTAAACTATTGATCTATTTTTTTTATTCTTTCTACAAGATCTCTCAAGAACATTTAGTTAATTTAGATACAATAACATTTATCTGCTCTGGTACTTCAATTATCGCATTGTTTATGTCTATCGTCATTCTTTCCCTTGTTCGGTAAACAAAAATAGAACAGTAGGATATAGATAGCGATGAGATAAATCTTAATATGTTTATTTATGGTTATTTTACTTTAAGGTAGCCACATGATTAAATACAGTAGTAGCCGCCTAATCATAATAACACGTTTGCATTTGCTATAAAATGAAATTCTGTTTTTACCAAGAACTTAAAAAGCTTTTTAGGATATTTTAAAATTTAAATAATATAATAGTAACAGCGATATAAGGTTTATAGATGAATTAAAACAAATTACAATTATTAAATAAAGAAATATACATGACATATATTACGTAAAGTACGAGTAGCAATAATTTTAATAGAGTCTTAAATATTTACTTTTTACCTAAAGCTGTGATCAATCATCTGTTTAATTTTTTCTGCTGAAGTTGATAGAAGTTACTAAAAAATGTTAAAATATTATCGATTCTTAACCGTAATTTAGATGATTTCATTAATCAATTTGTTAGTACTTCTTCGGAACATCATGAAATTCATATTAATCTGGCTTTGGCAATGTTGTTATCTCAGATCGGAATCATTTTGACCGGTGCTAGCATAATTAAAAATAATAATGTAAGTGCAATGATATAGTAATATAAGCCTGTCTTGAGCTACTAGCCTTAAAATTTCCTTTTTTAATTATGTCCTACCTTCCCTGAATTAAAAATTTATTGAATTTATGATGCAGTAAAGAAATTAAAATTATTTTAGATACATCTATTTCTAAGTAAAGTTACGGACCGTAATCCCATTAATCTCCATTTCACATAGTAATAAACTAAGTTTGGTATTTTATTATACTTTAGATATGCTGCAAAATTTTAGCTATAACACTACATATGCTTCTGTTGTCGATGTTCTCATGGATGCTTGCGGAAGGTATTCACCTTTACTTAAAAGTTATCACGGTTTTCAATACAAGCTCCAAGAGAAAATTATATTATGCCATAGGATGGGGTAAATAAATCTTGAATGATAAATAATGAAGTTTAAGTTTATTTCAACATTCTAGCGTAAAACTCAATTTATTTTGAAATATGCTTTTAAACTGAAGGCTCTCCAATCGTGACTGTTGGTGTAGCGGTTGGTATAGGGTTTGATAGATATGGAGTAAACAAATTGTGAGTCGGCTTATACCTTTTTAGCTAACTAACATTATAAGTAAAATAATATATTGTCACAGACAACTTCCTGATAAGTTTACTAGTCTAACGCAAAGCACTTACTTTGAGGTGCTTCTACAGATTACTACCCTAATCTGCCAAAAGATCTAGTAAGAATATAGTACTGCTACTATAACGTCTAAGAACTACCCTTCTAAAAGGCTCACAACCAGTAGACACGCTAAATTATAATCTACAAAACAGCTTTATTCCGTAACTCTTTACTCACTGTTCTCTCACAAAATTAACTGATTTAAACCAATAAATACACTCATAAATAACCGTTTATCTTAACAAAGAAATACCAGACACATCTGAATGATGTAATTAGATAAAAAGAAAAATTTATTTACAAAGAATAATCTTATCGAAATTACGTACGTATTCACAAAGCGTTGTTGGCTAATAGATGTATCACTTTACAATAACGCTCATAGCTTTCATTTTTCGAATAAAGCAAGAGTATTTTTGATTTACAATAGGATATTAATTCCTACAGGTATAAGTACAACAAATTCTAGCATTTCCTATACTATAATACTAAAACACTATCAGTAACAAAAATTTCTTAAACTCTGTAATTTAGGCAACGTAGTACCGTAACATATATACTATAATTTATAGGTAATATTGGATAAGATCAAATTTGTACGAGCGAGATATGATTTTTAGTCTAAAGTAATTGAAAAAATCATAATATGCTGTCAGTAAAGAAGTTATACAGCCAATTTTACGGCTGACGTGATTGTTACTTTGAATCATTTCATTTGACAGATAATAAAAATATTTTCAAATACTATAGACCTTACCGAGCCACATAGCTTCTTGATACAGTAAAATATCACTGCTATCGCTTAGACATAACTTATTACTTGGCTTGTAATAATCATAAATAAGATAAAACGACCTCGCATACCACTATAAAATGCGGTGTTGCAATAATCAGATAAGATAAAAGTGAGTTCAATACTTAATAGAAGTATTTGGTAACATTATGATGGCTAATATGTAGGAACAAAGGTATTATTTGTGATCATTTCAGACATAATAATGTACTGACTTGCTACTTTATAGCTGTTCGACTACTCTAGATGTTAAGAAAGAATACTAGCAAATAGTTTAGAGATGCTTGCTAGTTTTTTCTAGCAGTTCATTTTCGGCTTAGAACATGATTGTGAAATTCCTCGTTAAGTGTTTAATTTTTGTGAAATAAAGTAAATTTGCTCTTCGAAAGTTAAGACGCGTAGTTGGACTAATTAGTTATTTTACATTGTTATCGCAGGCTTACAATTAAAGTGAATCTGCGTTAATTTTGCGACATTGTGTAAAAAATTGCTGCCATGCATGCAAATAAAGTACTATTTTGCTTAACATAGGTGTTGGCTATCAGTTCATAGTGGATTCATATGGGCATTTACAGGACCCGCTTTATTTGTCATTTTGGTAAGTTTATTTAATATACATTAGCAAGTTACTCAGTTAACATTATAAAAGCTATCTTCTTTCGTCTGTCTCGTTAGTTAGTTCAGGTAGTTATACGGCAAGCTTGCGCGTTTTACCTATTCTACACTACTATAGTTATCGGACCAGTCATGTCGTTACTCGTACGATAATCTTACATGATTATTCTCTAACACTAGCTCAAGTAGACCTACCTTTAAGTATGGACTGAATTATTTCACCGTATTTTAGCTGAGAGATTTTATCTGTTCTTCGTCTTAAAGATTAAATAAAAATTTTAATTTTTCCGGATTATTCTTACCAATAGGTAAATTTTTTAGTAATGATTCTCGTCCTTCGAGTTACCGCTAATAAATCCGGGATCCATCCAGCTAGTCGACAGTTTTATAGCGCAAAAAAAATCAAGTAAAGTAAAATCAATTTATGTAGATCGAAATATAGTTATATTAGCGTAGCAGATAATTGCAATTACTGCACTTCTATCTTAAATTGATTGAATTTTTTGATGTAACTCTAGCTGCTCTCTTCCAACAATAAATTTTATATTAGATCTATCGTGAAAGCCACTCTTATTTTGTTGCCTATCCTTGGCTTAACTTGGATATTTGGTATTTTCTCAATGAGCAATCATACCATTGCCTTCAGTTATATCTTTGTTATTTTGAATGGTTTACAGGTTTGCTATGACGATAATTTTTACCTTTCTCAAATGGTGTAACTTATTAACTATTATCTTGATTTAGAGATTATAACTAAGGTTAAACTTAGATACATCTTTTTATCAAATAGATATTGTAACTGATATTTCCTTTTTTGTCGTACCAGGGTTGCTT